GGCAGACTTGCCAGGTCTGAGGATACTCAAAGGGTCTTATCAACTCTATCTTTTAAAATCTGAGCTCTGTGTCCCTAGCCAGTAGATACATTCCTGACACGTTTAAAAGGTAACTTGGCATTAGCTGAGGGTGGATTAAACAAGGAAAGAGCAGAAGGGGTCCCTTGTAATTTTTCAGCAGGGAGAGATAGATTTAACAGATACTCAGGCGGAGGAAGAGACACTTTAACAGTGAAAGAAGAGGAAATGAATCAGGGAGTAAATATTGAGTTCCGTTTTGAATATGTGCTCATTAGTCATCCAAGGGAAGATGCCCAGGAGGGAGACAGAGCTGTATGCTTGCAGCGCCAGAAGTCTGAGGATATGGGTCCAGGAATCATCTGGGAACAGATGGCATCTGAAGCCCCGAGAGCCGGAGGGAGACCAGGCCAAGGGGCGAGTGGGCAGGTTGCCCTCAGGAAGAGGTAGCGTGGAGAATGCCCACTGGGTGTCAAATGCATTTCATGTCTTTAGATCGGGGCTTATGGAATACTAACAGATGTTTTCAAAGGTCTAGGGAACCTCTTAAATGTTAAAACTTTAAGTGTAGTTTCTTGTTGGGACAAAAACTATAGGTTTTACCAGATTCTCAAAGGAGTTTGGAACTCCCCCAAATATAATACAATTAATATAAATAATATCCTGTGATACTTAGAATTTAAACTGAATTAGGGATTGGTTTGGGCTTTAGATTGTGCTTTACATAGTTACTTTGGTTTTATTGGTTTTATTTGAGCACTATTGGAAAGAGCTCAGCTTTCACCATTGCCTGTGGAATGGGTAAAAGATAGTGGTGGCAGACAGGGTTCATGTGCTCAGGTTCATGATTTTGCTAGAAACATTTTTATTTCTGCTTATTCAACTCCAATCCTCAAAAAAAAGTTCTTCATATTATTTTTTAATTTTTGAAACCTTTTACTTATTTATACAGGGTCTCACTACGCAGCTCAGACCCCTGGGGATCCTCCTGCCTTAGCCTCGCAGCCTCCCCAGCGTTGGGTGTGCGCCACCACACCCAGTTTTGGTATCTGGCATGCTGCACCTGGGTTTCTGGAGCCAGAACAGCAGGTGGTGCCAGGGATTGAACCCGGGTCCTTACTTTTAGACCGCCAAGCTATCTCCCCAGCCCCAATTATTCATATTAAATGTATGTCTAATCATATAACAAAAGCAGTGAATTGAAGTAATTGTCTATGTGGTTAACAGTGACTACTACGTTCGTGGTTCTATATGAGATACCTATTCTAGGAAATCCTAAACTTCACTGTCTCTCTGGCACTCTCTCAGCACCACCATGATGTCTTACTATTTCTGCTTTTGTTCATACTTGAAATTGGATGTCAGTCTCTTAATCCATCATTATAGCAAATAGTCAATCTTATTACATCATAACCTTGTGCACTTCTCCAAAAAAAGTTTTATTGTAATGGAATATGAATACAATATGAAAATTACCAACTCTTCGTACATCAAAGAGCACTATCAAATGAAAGATAACCCCTGGAATGGGAGAAGATATCTAATAAAGGCCCAGTTTCTTGAATATACAAAGAACTCTTACAACTGAACAAGAAAAAAAGAGATAAATAAATATGGGCTATGGATCTAGTTCAGTGACACAGTGCCTGTCTGGCAAGCATGAGGTCCTGAGTTCAATTCCCCGTACCCACAAAAGACTCCCAAGATGTATCATGTACATGTACAAACTCCCTATGATGAACAGGATCATTGAGTATATCTAAAATGTACCGAGAAAATCTTTTTTATAAAATTATTTTTTCAAAAAGGATAAATGATCGAGTATAAAAATAAACAAAGGACTTAAATGGACATTTCTTCAAGAACTATACATAAGTAAGTAATAAGTACATGGAAAGATGCTCAGCACCATTAGTTGTACAAATAAACACATCAGTACCACAATTAGATACTGCTTGTCCCCATAAAATAGCTAGATAATTTTTTGAAACAGAAAATGATAAGTGTTGGCAAGGAATTAGAGAAGTTAGCACCTTCGCACATGACTGGTGAGAACGTAACATGCTATGCTTGCTATGAAAAGCAGTCCGGCAGTTGTGGGGGGCAGTGGAACCACGGCTGAGCCAGAGGTGAGCCACATAAACAAGTCGTTGGGACAACAGCAAAACCAGCCCGTCCAGTGTCTGGCTCTGGTGTTCCTCCTTGTAACCACCACACAGACAGCTGTGAGAATGTCTCGTTCTCAGTGTTCTCAGCAAAAGACTGAGACCTCCTGTTCTGACTCCATTTTGTGCCGACCCCTCCCCCTTTTTACTGTGTGTAAGTGAAGACGCAGTCCATGTTGGGCTGTCACTGTGTCTCCCTCAGAGAGAGCAGGTTCCACCCAGACCCAGCTTCCCTTTTGGTATACATCTAGCTTTTCTTAATCCCCCATTGCCCCCTTTCAGGGCCCCAATAGCTGCACAGATTGTAGCAGGCAGTTTCTCAAAACTTTAACAATAAATTTGCCACATGATCCAGAAATTCTACTTGTAGTGGTATTCCCAAGACAATTAAAAATATACATTTACAAGAGTAACTTGTGCATAAATATGCAAAAAAGCATTAGTTACAACTGCCAAAAAGGGCAAGCAAGCAAAGTGTCTGTTAACTAAATAATGGGCAAACACAAGGAAACATATATCAGGGAACAGCATTGAGTCATAAAAAATAATGCAGTATCAATATGTGTTATGACATTGACAAACTTTGGATGCATCATGCTAAGTAAAAGAAGCCAAGCAACAGAGGACTCATGTTGTAGGATTCCATTTCCATGGAGTTTTCCGAGTAGACAAACTCATAGAAAGAGAAAGTAGACTGATAGGTGCTGGCAGCGAAAAACAAAAACTAGTAGGCATGGAATAACTTTCTGGAGTGATGAGAAGGTTCTGGAATCAGAGAGTGGTGATGGTTATGCAGCATTGCAAAGGTTCTAAAAACCCCACAATTATGTACCTCAGAGTGGTTAAAGTGGTGAATTTTAATGTTATATCAATTTTACCTCAGCCTCAATAAAAAAATGCAAAACAAAATCGCCAATTGATTTAGCTTTACCCCGGAGATGACAATCACAGAATCCACAAGCCTTTTCACAGTTCCCCTCATTTTTGACGAAGTCTCATAGGTTCATATGAGATTAGAATTTTTCCTCATTTTGATCTCTATAATATGCATTCTAAGCCAGTTAAAAACTTGGACACAAGGAAAATCTCACTTAGGAAAGAAGAGAAGTAGCAGAGGAAATGGTGGCATGCATTAGTTTGGGGAATGTATTTCTAAAATTTTGGAGAAATAAAATTGCAAGGCATGGCATTACAGGCGCTACACATTTGCAGGACTATTTTAGCTCTAAAACCCTGCAAGTGGTAATAAGAGAACAGGGTGAAAATATGGAATCCGCACTGCCCACTTCTTTTCGCTCTCTCCACTTCTTCCAGAAATGAAGCCAAGTTTCACTTCTTGCGGCACTCGGGGATTCCTTAAGCATTTCACTCTTCTTTGGACTAAAATCATTTAATTTCGTGTCTAGGGTTCTGCACCCAGTGAATTTCTGTTGTGTACAACGTTCCTGCCTGACTCCTAGGAAGATAGCTTGGATCCTCGTTTGGTAGTAAGAGAATCTAGTCTCTTTCTGTCATACAACAGGGCGATTGGAAGAATCTTGCTGGTAAAGAGGAGGGACTCAACTGTGGCAAAAAATGAAGAAAGAAATTTTTTTTTCAGAATGATTTTCTTTGGCTTCATGGATGCCCATGTTCCCTGTTACTTGTGTTTCTTTTTGCGATGCTGGGAACAGAACTCAGAGCTTTTCCTGCTAGGCAAGCGCTGCACTGTCAAGCGTGCCAACCCTTGAGTGGCTCAGCTCCTGAACGCCTCTCTGCCTGTGGTCACACTGCAGAAATCTGATCAGGGACAGGCAGGACCAGACACATAATTTGTGCAAAATGAGCATGCACACTCCTTGTTCAACAGCAAAGAATTTTGAAGAGGTGACAGCAAAGCATAAGCACGGCAGCTACGGCACACCCAGCACCCATGTTCTGAGGGATAGCTTGATGGCCAGTCTCCCAGCGACACCATCTTTTTTCTGGGGCTGAGGGCCAGAGAGCTGACCTTCCAGAACCTCAGTCCTCACCCTGCAGCATGAGGCTCATCTCCCCCACCTCTTGCCTAGCTGCTAGAATTTTCTAAGTCTCAAGCTCGATGCCATTGTTTAGTACGTTTTCTATTTTTTTACAGAGAAGGAGGTGCCATACACTCCATGGGGGACGAATGGCAGGAAAGGCATTTGGAGAGCTGCATGTGGGACCTTCGGAGCTTCAGAAAGGGGGCTGAGCGGGGCTGGTGGGCGCCTGCTCTGGGCTGACACCGTCTGCTTCGCACAGTGTTTTTATTAGCTCGTCTCCTCAGTACATCAGTGGCAAGGGTGATGAAACCGGTGGCAGATTTAACTGCCAGGCAGCTGGGTCACTGTCCCGTGGGTCTTGTTGTCATGCTGCGGTCTTAAAGTGACCATGGCTGCTTGGGCTGCTGCCTTCCAACAGGCTCCAGGAGAGACCACTGAATAGTTAATCAGTGGAAAAGGAAGACAGAGGCTGTTGCTTGCAGAAAACACAGAGAAGCAGCTTTGAAAACTCCCAAGGTGGCTGAATATCAAGAACACGGCTCCTGCTGTGGGCAGCTGTGTGTGCAAGGGGCAGCCTGGGGGCTTAAAATCAAATCTCCAGCACGGGCTGGTGCCTTGCCCCATGGGCTTTGGCAGTGGAGGCAGAAAACCTAAACACTACAAAACGAAGAACCCTCCATCCTGGCAGAGGAGGGCTGCCATGTGCCATCGGCTTTTGTGTTGCTAGCTGCAGACCTAAGGGGTAAGAGTAGAGGGAGCAGAGGAGGGAAGGCAAGATGACTTTGTTGACAGGCAGGATCTGCAGGTCCCTTACCTGAAACCGTCTCATGTCTCTCGGGTTTCCTGCTGTTTTCAAACAATTCTGATTGCACTTGAGGAAAAATTTTAAAAAGAATCTGAAAAGAGAAAGCAATGTGTTACAATTTTCGGTAAACATTTTGTAAGGGAGACCATATCTGCATTCGATTAGATTTGATGTGAAAAGCGATTGTATTTCAGGTCTGGGGAATTTCAACCAGCCCTGCTGGGGAAGGAACATAACTGACCCCCTGCAATTTGCAAATCTGAGTGTTTTCGGTCACAAGCGCAGAGCGCCCTACTCTATCACAGGGAGCTGGGGGACGGACTGTCAAGCAGCTCCCAAGCTGGCTCTGGTTTGTGCACGGGCCTGGAGTCTGTAAGGTACTCTCTCTGCAAACACAGGCTCCAAGCACAGCAGTGGCCCCTACTGTACAGAAAGCCTTCCTCTGGGGTGAAGAGTGGCAGGATGTGGACCGGCTCCGGCTCCCGGGGCTCCTTGGTGTGAGCGTGGCTCCCTGCTGGCCACACACACCCTGCCTCACACCCTAAGGGAGCCTGACAGCTTGACAAACAAAACTGGAAGAGGGTATCCTACCATCCAACGACCAGATCAGCCAGTCAGGTACATAGCGGGTGTTTATGATTAATAGCTAGTGGGAATCTCTTTTCAGACCCTCTACAAATTATCCAGAAAATTACAAAGGCCCTGAATCACAGTCGGAGCTCATCATTTACAAGACATATATTTTAAAGTCCATATTCCCCTAAACAGTCTGTTTAATTTTAAAACCGGGTATCTTGAATCATAGGACATCAATCAAGAAAAAAAATGGCAAAAGTAGCCTTTGCAGCAATTCACCTAGCTCCAGTTTGAAATTTTGTTTCAAAATGGAGTAAGTTTTTCATTTATTTTGCTTGCAGAGTCCTTTCCCTTAAAAAGAAAAAAAAAAAAAAAATCCAGCTTTTGCAGTGTTAAAGTCCCAGGTGAGCTAGGCCTATTTCCCTTTCTGTTACTATGACAACGAAATTTTACCGCAGTCCCTAAGTCCCTTCAGAACTCTCACATCCATGCCTTGAATTAGAACTTTAAAGGAAAAGATATACATTTTCCCCGGGATTTACCAACAAAATAAGTAGAAATCAACAATGCTTCTGAAAATTCTATTTTAAAGCAGCAGTTGGTGAAAGCCTCTCATCACGAGCTTCTGTTTATTTTTATTTTCTAACAAGCACACAAAAGAATTAAAGAGAGCTCCAGTTAACTGCATGTGTTGCCGGAGAAAAAAATGCAGATGAGAAGATAAACAGTAAATGATAGAGGACAGAGAAGGGGAATTGGCTCTTCGGATTCTGTTCTGCACCCCGGACTCTTTACTCTCTATTTGCTAAAAAAAAAAAAAAAAAAAAAAAAAAAAATGTGTGGCAACATGTGTCTGCCCCAGTGGCGATGTATGAATGAGACTGGGTGTGAATTTGGAAGTAACAGTTAAAGATTTTCCCACTATATTCTAACATCTGCTTTTCGCCTCTCTCTTGTGATACATTGTGAGGTGGGTGGCAGGTCAGGCAATGCTTCCTGTGCTATAAAGGTGTTGGGGTCTCCCCTACAGATGCCCCCTGAAGGCCAAGGAGGAGGATGCAGCCAGAGTAGCATTGCTTTCTGCAGTATGTAAATCCGCAACCTGCTGCAGCTTCTCAAAGGACAGCGAAATGCCTGCCTGCAGTGAGTAGGGTGGATAGAAGGGAACAGCTTTGATTTCAGTAAAGATAGAGCCCATTTCCACATTTTCATCCTGGGAAGGGAAACACTCCTATACCTGTACACTCACATCAGAGTCAGCTCCAGCTGCCTCCAAGGCTCCGAGGTGCTATGCATAGAGAGCGCTTGCTCCTCTTTCAGACAATAGCCCCCACTTCCCACCGTATCCGCCCTCCCACACCCCCAGCAGCAGTTTACACTTTTTCCCTGCCACAACCAAGTGGAGTGCTGGGTTTCATTTCTTCTTCATTGATTTTTGGAAAGTTTGCAACAACTGGAATCCTTATAACGCACACTGTGTGTGCCTGCTGCCCCTGACCTCCCCCATCTCCTTTAGCAGAAGTATCTGGTGAAAACATTAGTGTTCACGAAGGCATTATTGTGTGAATGGTGTGGTAGGTGGAAAAGTGCAAAAGAGATAAATGTTTACATAAAATTGAATTGATTTAGGGAGATGTGGAGCCTGGTGAAAGGCTTGACTCATTTTAAATTAGGACCCTTAATAGTTATTTGGATGGAAAACCCTGCTTGTGACTCCCTTGTCTTGGGCTGGGTTTGCAATCTACATGGGCCCCTGAACATTGAGCATGTAGCATTTGGTTGACAAAGGGAACCAGGATCTCTTAGGTTCCATAATCACATGGAAGTGCTATACATGGTCATCACCAAAAATTACACACTGCATTTTTAAATATGTGGATCTAAAAATTAATAGAAATTCAGATTCTTTGCTTGCTGATCCCTCTGATTTCCTCTCTGTCTTTTCCACTGATACCTTTCATGTTCTCTCCCAACCTCACCAAGCATGATCCAGGATCTCGTACAAAACTCTCTCCTACCCCTACCACCTATCAGACACAGGGTAACTGGAAAGGAACAAATTCTCTCCAAATCCCTTGGGTCTAGATCACTCCAAAGCCAGAGCTGCCTGGAAAATGTCAGCTTTCTCCACTCAGAAATGGAAAACCAAAATGAATTACGAGATTCAGACCAAATGTGTGGATTCTTGCCGGGATGGGAGCTTGCTCCATTTTCTCCAAACAACGGTGACAACATAAATACTACGGCCACTCAGTGTACTGCAGTTTGCAAGACTTTTCTGATTGCAGTCCTGAAGAGGGAGCCTAACAGTGGTGGGTTTGTCCTTCTTGTATGCATAATAGGAATGGAGAGGTAAGGTCAAAATGTGAACTCCAGCCCTCAGATTTCAGTGGGGCCCCTAGGTCACCGGGGCAGTATCATATACCAAAAGGCATTCCTTTGCAGCACAAATACTTATGAGGCCGTGCTGGGCTTGACTTGCTACCCACTGACGATGCAGCTAAGTTACTGTGCTTCTCTAGGCCTCAGTGTCTTCAACTGCGAAAACAAAGGCTTAACGGAATTATCTCTAGGCTTCCTTCAGCATCAGTATTCCTCGATTGCAAAGAAAAATGGCCAGCAGAGGTACTTTGGGAAAAGAATGCACTGACAAAAGCCCCAGCACTCACAGGACTCCAGGTGGGTCTGTGGGCAGCAAAGACAATGTCTGAGACCCAAGTCCAAACTCACTGAGATGAGAGACAAATAAAGGGGAGAGGCTGACTGGCGGAAAGTGGGGTATCCGGGTAACGCCTCAGCCGGAGTTGGTGACATCTGGGGTTGGTAGGCAGGTGACTGGGTGAGCCAGACCACTGCAGTGGGACTCCCTTTTGTGCTCCTGAGGCAATGGAAGGTGCTTGTAGAAGATCAGGGTCATAGCCAGGTCTGTGCCTGCTCACCACTCTTCATGGTCAGCAGCTAAGGGACTTGGCTGTCACAGAGGGGAAGGAAATCCACCTTATGTGCAGGGTGTGTGTTCCATGTCCTCAGGGGATGCCTGAAATCCCACATAGCACCTTGCCCTACGTAGACCATGTCTTCTCCTATACACAAACACCTGTGATAAAGCTTAATGCATAAATTAGGCCTAGTAAGAGATTAGCAACAATAATGGTGAATAACATTGAAAAAGTACAACAATATGCTGTAATAATAGTCATTTACAATGTGAATTATTTTCTGGAGTTGTTCCCTTTCATATTTTCCAATTGCAGTTGACTATGGGTAACGAAGTCCTCAATAAATGAAGTGAGGGATAAGGGGACACGTCCCCTGCTTTGGGCAGGCAAGTCCATTTTCCCTCTTATGGCAACTCTGTCAGTGGCACACTGCCCCACAGTTGGGCAAAATCAAAGCCTTAAGAATTCAGGAATCTGGCCAGCAGTTGGCTAGCTTGGGAGTGGGGGATGCAACGCTTGGAGCCTGGATTCTCCTGAGAACCAGCTCTTCATGTTCTTCTGTTTCCTACACGAGTGGCACTGGGACAATGGTGGCGCAGCTCTTTTTATTTTTATTTATTTATTTTGTATTTTAGGGAAGGGTCTACAGGGTGTTCAGGGACTCACTACTAGATCAGACTTGTAGGGATCCTCCTGTTTACAGTCTCCCAAGAGCTGGGATTACAGGTGTGAACCACCACGCCTGGTCTCACTTGTTATCTCAGTGCACCCCGGGGGTGGGTCCAGCATGGCAGGCCTGGGGATCAAACCTCCGTCCCCTGCGCCAGCTTGCAGGTGCTTTAATCTTCTGAGCTATTTGCCCGGTGGAGGCATGGCTCTTACACCCACTGAATGGGCAAGCCTTATGGTGTGTCCCTTACATCTCAAGGAAGCCACCAATGCTTTTCCCAAAAAGTGACCTAAAAGGGGGTGAGGGAGAGAAGAGGAAAAAGTCAATCAGGGGAAAAAAGAAAAAAAAAAAAAAAAACGAAATGATTCTGGCTTCTTGAAGAGCAAGAGAAAAGAAAGAAGAAAACATTGCGTCAAAGATAGTACATTGGGCTGCATGCTCGACGCTGAAAACTTCCACTGAGTTCATTTGCTCACGGCCTGGATCAATATACACTAAGTGAGTTCTGATGCCACAAAGATTCATGATGGCAGAAAAGCTCTGGGGCTCTGGAGCACACAACCAACAGATGCTTCTGCAGAGTCTGGAGGCGAGGCTGGAGCCCCTCAGCCCAGGGGCTCGGTAGAATTGCAGCGGACAGCCGAGGCCCCAAGAACTCTCCCTCTGTTTTCCCAATCTCTAAAGCAGAAGGAAACTCTTATGTGACTTAGACATGCCCTGTGCCCATCTCAAATAAAAACTAAGCTCAAATTAAAGGCGCAATTTGGTGCAAATTAAAGGCTCAGTAGTAAGGGTAGGAAGACCTCCAAAACCGCAGGAAGGGCAGCTACTTAGCATTCTTGTCAGAGTTTGTAATTATAACCAGTGGCCTCACTATCGTAAAGCCCAGCACAATATTTCAAATTA